TCATCACTATCATCAGCAACGACATCATCAACATTATCAAAGACATCATCATCATCAAAAACATCATCATCATCATCATCATCATCATCATCATCACCATCATCAGCGACATCATCATCATCACCTTTCACATTTTTTTTCTAGCAGCTATCGGCAATTAAATATAAAATGTGTTATCTTATATCTCGTTTTGTTGGCTGATGTGGTGAAAAGGTGGATGGATGGATGAATGAGTGGATGGGTGGATGGATGGATGATTGAATGAATAAATGAATGATTGAATGAATGAATGAATAAATGAGTGAAAGACAATTACGATCGATGAGGTGTTAAACTCGTGATAGTTTCGATAATTATATAATTTCATCAAAAAATGAGAGAGAGAAAGAGAGAGAGAGAGAGAAAGAGAGAGAGAGAGAGAGAGAGAGAGAGAGAGAAAGAAAGAGAGAGAAGAGAAATAAGAGAACATCATAACAGAACAAGACAGCAACCCAACTTTGCATAACTCATCATGGTCTGATACAAAATAGTATCTTTATTCGCGTTAAAAAGAATCTAACAGAAGAAAGAAGGAACGAACGAATAAATGAATGAAAAAATGGACAAAAGAATGAACGAATGAGGAAATAAAACATCAAATAAAAGAATGAATCCGTAGTTAGCCAGTCAAGTGAATTGATAATTGAATGAACGGTTGGAGGTTGTCAGATATTTTAAATGAGCTAGTAAACAAAACAATAGATGAAATAAAATAACTGAATAATCGATTGAACGCATGAGTAGATGAATGAATGAATGAAAGAATGAATAAATAAATAAATGGTCGAACGGACAAACCAACAAACGAACGAGCGAACAAGCAAGCGAACGAAAGAACAACCGAACGAACGAACAACCAAACAAACAAATAAACAAACAAACGAATAATAGAGAGAATGGATTATTACACAAATAAATAAATGAATGAAGGCAAGAACGACTGAACGTGCAAATAGCTCCGAGCAAAAAAACTATAACGATGCGGTACTCTGGTTCGAATTAAAGTCATTTTATTTTTATTTTTTGCTTCCGCTTTTGTCAATGATAACAATAATAATAATAATAAATAATAATAATAATTAATAATAATTAAGATTTATGTTGCTTATAACGCTAGTGGATACAAAATAATTACATCTGCAATGCATGTATGTATGGTTTTATTTACAAACATTCTAATTAAATATTCGTTCATGCGCTCGTTCATTCGTTCGTTCGATCATTCATTCATTCATTCATTCATTCATTCATTCATTCATTCATTCATTCATTCAATTTAAACATCAGTTCATTCACGTATAGCTAAACATACAACACGAGTGTATGAATACCACTTTTTAGAACGCTTATTTTTTAAGAATACGCTGAATTCCGTAATCTGTTTTTGTTATTGTTGGTAATAATTTTCATTATTATTTTTATTTTTTTTATTTTTTTCATTATTATTCTTATTATTTTTTTTATTTTTTCAGTTTATCGGCTGAGAAGGCTAAAAAGATTTGCACTCGTGTGTGTGTTTGTTTTAAGATTTTTTTTTGGAAGTAGTAGTAGTAACAGCAGCAGCAGCAGCAGCAGTAGTAGTAGTAGTAGTAATAGTAGTAGTAGTGGTAGTAGTAGTAGCACTAGCAGTAGCGATAGAAAAAAGATCCTATTATTAGAAGATAATTTTATTAATTCAGAAAATATTTGTTTAAGCATTATTGCTCTTACAATTAGCGTCTTCTTGTCTTGTTATGAATATAGTAGTTATGGATGTTCATAATGCCGATTGTTATTGCTATTACTGTTATCATTATTATTATTATTGTTATAATTAGTAATTAATTATGTCTCCATGAGCAACAAACAAACGAACGAACGAATGAACAAACGAACGAATGAACGAACGAACAGCAGTTCTTCAACCGTAGCCTATGAACGACATACATGGAAAGAGTCACAGCTAATTCCTCAATTTAATTTTCAACAACATCACATAAAAAAGAAGTTTCCAAATTATTATTATTATAATTTTTATTATTATTGTTATTTTTATTGTTATTCTTTTATTTTGATTATTAGCGAATTAAATGCAAATTACTCGCGAAAATGCTCATCTTCTTATCTACGAAGAAGGATGCGATAACACTTGAGATGAAGTGATGATGATGATGAAGTTAATGATAATGATGATTGTAATGACGATACTGATGTTGATGATGATGAGGAAGAAGATGACGATGATGTATATAGAATAGATGCCAGTACAAATTCTCTCCTTAGCATGATAAATCACTGCCTTTTCGTCATAAGACGTGTATGTTTGTATGTAGGTATGTTTGTATGTGTGTGAGTGTGTGTGTTTGTGTGTGTATGTGTTTGTGTGTGTGTGTGTATTTTGGCCTGCTCTTAAATGTTGTTTTTGATTTATTGCTCTTTTAATTCACTTTCTCCGCAATCCGTCTTTATTTTTTTGTTTTTGTTTGTTTTGTTTTTGTCGTTTTTTCTACTTCCATATCTATTTTTTACAACTTTTTTATTTCACTCGTTTTTTTTCATCTTCCTTTCTTTCTTTTTTTCATTATTTTTTTTCTGTCACTCATTTTCTGACTTCAACTCTCTTTTCTTCTATTTTTCCCTCTTTCTCTCTCTCCATCTCTCTTTCTTCAATCTCTCTTCCCCTTTCTCTCTTTCTCTCTTTCTTTCTCTCTCTCTCTCTCTCTCTCTCTCTCTAACTCTCTCTCTATCTTAA